TATATATATATATATATATGTGTGTGTGTGTGTGTGTGTGTGTGTGTGTGTGTTGTTGTATGCCAATGTGAAAGAGATTGAACATCAGCTAGATTGGTGGATCTTGTTGAATCTCTCATTAAACCTAAATTTATTTTCAATAGCTGGTGGGTCTATACTATAATAGGAAACCCCAAAAAGTACTACATCCTTAGTTTTCTTGACTGTCCTTTAAATATTTTGGACTGGACCACCCTTCTTTATATAGGGTAACATGCATGTGGGTCCCTCCCCACCCCACAGACCCTCATTTTTTCAGGGTATGAGGTGATAGTAGTATCATAGATGAGTAGCTACTTCAAATGCATACAACAAGCTTGAAAATCTCCTTTTTTTCGAGTTTAACCATCTAGTTTTCGAAATTTTCATGGCCTTATTATACATAACATATACACTTGTCATATGGTTGGTATACGTGCATTTATGTAAATTTCATATATGACATATATTATATTAATATTTTCGAGTTATAGCAGTAGATTTAGACTTTCAAGTTATAACATTAAAAATTTTAGGTTCTAACAAATTATATAAAAAAAAATGTTTTTAATAATTAAAAAAATTTAAAAAAAATAAATAAATAAAAGAATTTTTTTTAAAAAAAACGGAATTGATGGTAAAACATAAAAAAAATTGAAATTGTGGTGTTAATTTAATTTGAATTTAATGTAGATAATTAATAATTGACACGAAATAAGGGATCCAAACTAATTAAAATTATTTAGTATCCTTAATTCACTCAAATTAGTTAAAATCAAATAAAAATAAGATTTTATCTCTCTTTTTTTCAACGTTTCTCTCTCTTCATTGTTTCTTCATTGTTCTGCCAGAAAAAATTCCCAGTATCGAGTAATTGAAGTTTTTTTTTTTATATTTGAAAAAATTAAACATGGTGGAAGATGGGATACTTCATGTTAGTATTTATTAATGTTTATTGTTTGTTTTTAAATTACAGTGAAATGAAAAAAAAATGATAAAACTGTAAATCGTCAATATATTTAAGGTGATATCACTTTTTGTTAGCTTTTGTGAAATATATAGTATTAGTGATTTTTTGTTTTTGTGGTTGTTTTGAATACTGTTTTTTTTTTTTTTTTTTTTTTTTTAAGTATAAATTAAATGTATATTTTTGAATGAACTTGATAGAATAAATGGAAAGAAATTTGTATGAAAGTGTGTTCAGTAATCTATAAAAAAAGTTATTTAGAATTTTGATGAATTGTATGAAAAGTTGTTTAAATTGATAATGAATTTGATAAAATAAATGAATTGAAATTTGTATGAAAGTGTGTTTAGTAATCTGTAAAAAAAATTTATTTGAAATGTTGACGAATTATATGACAAGTGTTTTAAGTTGGTATTAAATTTGTAATTTTAGTGTTTATATTAGTTTTGTCATTTCTATATAAAGTTGTTTGATAGTAATGAAGTATTTGGTACGAGCGAAATAAATGTATTTTAGAATGAATGATGACTGTTGTATGAAATGTGTATTAAGTGAGTATGAAATGTCCATTAAGTGAGTTTGAAATGTGTGTTAAGTGAGTTTGAAATGTGTATTTAGTGAGTATGAAAAGTGTTTTGTAATGTACTGTCTGAATGATATTTGAATGAAAAAATAAAGACAAGTGGGTATAATTTT